TGATAGTGGTGTTGATGATGATGATGAGGACGGAGTTGATTATGAAGATTATGATGATGATGGTGATGATGACGGTGGTGGTGATGGTGATGATGATGGCGATCATGATGATGGTGGTGATGAGGATGATGAAGATGAGGATGAAGATCATCGTGGGGATGACGATGACGATGACGATGCCGATGACGACGACGATGATAATGGTGTTGGTGGTGATTGCGATGATGATGATATTGATAATGGTGTTGATGATGATGATGATGATGATGATGATGGTGATGGTGATGATGATGGTGGTGGTGATGGTGATGGCGATGATGATGACGGTGGTGATGCGGGTGATGGTAGTGATGTTGATGGTGATTATAACGATGGTGGTGATTAGGATGATGAAGGTGAGGATGAAGATTTTCGTGGGGATGGCGATGACGATGACGATGCCCGTAACGACAACGATGACGAGGAGGATGAAGATGAGGATGATGAAGAGCATCGTGGGATGACGATGACGATGCCGATGACGACGACAATGATAATGGTGTTGATGCTGATGATGATGGTGGTGATGATGATGATGGTGGTGATAGTGGTGGTGATGATGTTGGTGGTGGTGATGGTGATGATGATGATTGTGATGATGAGGATGATGATGGTGATGATGATGGTGATATTGATGATGGTGGTGATGAGGATGATGAAGATGAGGATGACGATAACCGTGTCAATGACGATGACGACGACGATGACGACGACTATGATAATGGTGTTGATGATAATGATGTTGATGATGATGATGATAATGTTAGTGATGGTCATGGTGATGTGGGTGGCAGTGATGATGTTGACAATGATGATGATGATGGTGGTGATGATGATGATGGTGATGGTGATGAGAATGGTGGTGATGATAATGGTGGCTATGATGATGGTGGTGATGAGGATGATGAAGATGAGGATGAAGATGATCGTGGGGATGACGATGACGATGAAGATGCCGATGACGACGACAATGATAATGTTGTTGAAGATGATGATGATGATGGTTGTGTTGATAATGGTGGTGATGATGATGATGGTGGTGATGAGGATGCTAGTGGTGATGGTGATGGTGATATTGATGATGGTGGTGAGAAGGATGCTGAAGATGAGGATGTAGTGATGATGATGACGGTGGTGATGAGGATGATGAAGATGAGGATGAAGATGATCGTGGGGATGACGATGACGATGACGATGCCGATGACGACGATGATAATAGTGCTGATGATGATGATGATGATGGTGATGCTGATGATGATAATGTTGATAATGGGGTTCATGATGAGGGTGATGCTGATGATGGTGGTGGTGGTGATGATGAGGATGGTGATGGTGGTGATGAGGATGATGGTGGTGATGATGATGGTGATTCTGATGATGGTGGTGATGAGGATGATGAAGATGAGGATGAAGATGATCGTGGCAATGACGATGACGATGACGATGCCGATGACGACGACCATGATAATGGTGGTGATGATGATGATGTTGATAATGGTGTTGATGGTGACGATGATGGTGGTGATGATGATGATGGTGGTGATGGTGATGATGATGGTGGTGATGAGGATGATGAAACTGATGATGATGATTATGATGATGGTGGTGATCAGGTTGGTAAAGATGAGGATGAAGAAGATCGTGCAGATGACGATGACGATGACGATGCCGATGACGACGACGACGATAATGGTGTTTGTGATGATGATGTGTATACAGGTGTTCCTGATGATGATGATGATGGTAGTGATGATGGTGGTGATTCTGATGATGGCGTTGATCAGGATGATGAAGATGAGGATGAAGATGATCGTGGGGATGACGATGAGGATGACGATGCCGATGACGACGACGATGATGATTGTGTTGATGATGATGATATAACTGTTGCTGATGGTGATGGTGGTGATGATGGTGATGGTGGTGGCAATGGTGATGATGATGGTGGTGACGATGAGGATAGTGATGATGATAATGGTGACTATGATGATGGTGGTGATGAGGATGATGAAGATGAGGATGAAGATGATCGTGGGGATGACGATGACGATGACGATGCCGATGACGACGACGATGATCATGTTGTTGATGATGATGATGCTGATGCTGATGCTGATGATGATGCTGATGACAATGATGATGATGATGATGATGATGATGATGATGACGATGATGATGATGATGATGACGATGATGGTGGTGGTGGTGGCGATAATGATGAGGACCAAACGGCATCGAGAAGAAGGCTGGGGAGGCATCGTTCACAAGGCTCGCGTCGGATTGGGTTTGTGGTGATCTCAGGGAGCCTCCGGGGGCCCAGACCCCGTCGAGCTAAGGAAGAGCACGACGGACGGATGTTCGCCATCTCCGACCTCTGGGGGTGCTTACCCGGCCCTGGGGCCGTCAAGAACGGCTCGGGGGAAAAAACCAGCCCAGGGAAAACGGTCGGGACTTTTGGGAATCGCGTCCCGACCAAAAATTTGCTTGACCCACAAGGGGGTCCGGCTGAGAGGGGGTGGTGCAACAGGTTTGGGGCATTTGTATTGCACGTGTATTGTGCCAGAGAATTGGGTTGCACTGTATTGCAGCCAGTGTACTGCACGCAAAAACCAGCAATACATTCGCGCACCAGAATGTACCGCACGCCCCAAATCTATTGCAACCCTACAAAATCTGTGGCACCAGCTCGATCTACTGCACCACCCCCATTGTCGCTGGGCCCCCTCTTGGGTCAACCCGAAAAAATCACTGCATCGGACCTCGCGGTTCCTCCGAAGCCTCTGGGGGGGGGGCGCGGGATTTGGTTGGTAGAGAGCGTCGAAGGCCCTCGGGGCCGCAGGGGGGACAGGCTGCTGCCTCCCCCAGGGAGGACAGGCCCTGGGGGCCGCAGGGAGGAGGACAGTGAGGGAGAGGCAGAGGAAGGGGGAAGGATCAGTCAAGGGGCCCAGGGACACACAAATAAATACACACAAATAACAAGATCCCCCATATGTTTCCATATGTTCTGGGTTTTGGTCTTCCCCCCCACTCTCATATTTTCCCATATTGTCCTGCGAGTCGACGATTAATTGCGTCTGTGTGTTTCTTTCCCCCCTGAATCAGTCCAGTGAGGGAGAGGCAGGAGGATCAGTCCAGTGAGGGAGAGGCAGCAGCCTGTCCCCCCTGGAGCGCAGGCTGGGCCTCTTGGTTGCCCAGCGGAGGGCCTTTTGGGGACGGGGGGCGCGCCATCGGTCTCGGGGGCCATCTTGCGGCTCGACTCGGCTCGACGTACAGTCGGCCTTGACTGGACAAGACGCGCGAGGAGGACACGAGACCCCTCCGAGGCACGCGTCGCGAGGCACGGGACACAAGGGCACCCTTGAGCTGGCAGGGTCGACCTACTAATCCGGGCCGGCTGTATCCGCTCGTTGGTTGGAGCCGGCGCGTGGTATGGCTCTGCTTTGCGTGGCATCGTGCTGCTGGAAGACACGTCCACAAGATGCCAAGGATGACGAGCTCTGGAGGCCACCTGGGCCTCCCCAGGAGCCCCGGGGGCCCTTCTTGGTTGCGTCGGCGGCCGGGCAGGGGGCGCCTGCGCTGGCGGAAGAGGCCGACTGACTGACTCAATGGGGGCACTGTTGTAGCGAGTTGGCCAGCATGCAAGAGTCGTCGTCGT